TCTGGTCGAACAGCTGGTTGGTCACCTCCTTTCCCCGTGTGCTTTCCAAGTAGAGTCGAAGGTTACTGACCGTCCACTTACCCCCATGTACGTGATTGTAATCATCCTGAAACACCCCATGGAATTATAGACATGCAAACATACACAGGCTTCTAATAGTGAATTTTTGAGTCACATAAAAACACACCTACCCCATGTTTCTGGATGGCCACATTAGTGAGGTGAACAAACATGTTGTCAAGTTCGCTGGTGCTGGGTGTGTATTTCACTGTGCAAAACCGGCAAAATCCCAATTTGTACCTGAAAATTAAAACATAAATATATATGGGCATACAAACATGATATCTCCAAAATGTAAGCAAAATACTCTGATATCCACAAATTCTGTGACCAATTTATCTATATTTCAACCACAGTATTACTGATCCAGGACTATTTATATTGCAAGACATAAGTATATCATTCATCTCTCGTGAACACAACCATTGATGATTTAACTGGTGTGTATATCACCGATACTGCTGCAGTATTTTGGTTAAGTTTAGCTCAAGCTCTCACATGTAGCACTTGAGGGGACGGTATGTGGTCACCAGCACATAGAGACGAAGATCAAACTTCTTTCCTCCAATCAATAGTGGATTATCAATGTACAAAGAGATTACATATGCCTCTTTGCCACTAGAGGCTGCCAGAAACCTGTAAATAGAAAGATAATGACTAGGCAAGTGTAACTGCTGGATCAAGCACAAAGACCACAAGGACAAACAGAGTGCAACATGGGTGCAGACACAGTTCTACTCCTGATGACCATACATGAATGCCAGATTAGAAGCAACATCCCCTTTTATAAAAAGCAAACGCTACCCTGGCTTAAACTGCAAAAGGGAAGGTATTTCCAGAATTTGTGTGTGGAGGTTTATTGCTACAACTCCCTAGCTAGATTACTGATTAGAGGACTAATTGGCTGAAGAGTCCTCACACCTAGGTTTGAACAGCTGACCTAAAGGTTATCCCAAAAACTTGCATACACACTGGCCCTTTCCAAATAAGATTGCTCACCTCTGATCTGCACTAAAGACACTTTTGTTGGGAAAAAAAAAATAGCACCCAAATTATGCTCCAAACTTTTACACTACCCCACCACTATTCCCCGGAAAGACCCACGTGGAGGTGCGGCTGTCACGCGACCACTTCTTAATCTGGGAAAGCTTGTTGATCAAAAAGATTCCTTTGCCCTGAGCTTTCCCACATGGCTTCATGATCCAGGTACTGGATGGGTTTTTCCGAAACTCCTCCACAAACAAATTGTAGTCTGCAGGAAGCATGAAGGTTACTGGCACAAAATCTGCAAATGGGGATAAACAGCAGGAAGCAACTTATTAGTTCTTCATTGTTGTTATTCAATCATGCTTTAACAACTGTCATATTGAATGCATGAGAGTATCTAGTTATATTTATTAGCGTCTGCTAACAAGCCAGTCCTTGACTAGAAAATGTAGGGAACAAGGTAACGACATAGCGCTCAAAACACAGGCTTGTAACCTGTAACTGGATAAATTCATTAATTAAGAAATTAAATATGAAGTAACATCCACATGCACTGTTCACATTTGAACAGTATGTGTGTCCTGACAAATTAAAGACATGTTACCTAAGTAGAGGTATTTGCCCTTTTCATCCTTCTCTGCCAATGGACTCCCTTCCTTCTCCAGCTCCTTTCTATACCGTTTTATGTTTTTGACCATTAAGTCTTTTCTTGTCAGCTCATAATGGTTGGGAAAGTGGTTGACCATCTGATCATCTGACAAACGGTAACCAGTGTCCACACTGAAGACATTCCTTATGGTCTGTACACTCATCCTGTAAAGTCAAATTCATGACACGTGCTCTTCACACAACAGCACTGGATGCCTACAAATATCAGATGATGTCATACTATAACAATTTTTACGACTGACTTTCCAGTTAACTTTAAAAAAAAAAAAGATATGCTGTTTCAATTTTTCCACCGGTAAAACTGAAATAAAACCACACGCAAGGATAATGGTCTTCAAAGTATGACAAAAACAGATTACCAATAAAAGTTCCAGTCTTCGTTTTCTGACACTTGCACCCATCCTCTCTTTTCGAAGTTATTGATCAGAACGGATTTCTCTATATCAGTCACCCATTTTACCTTACCAGCCATGGTAGCTCTTTGAACAGAAAGAATCCACTTTCATTTCAACAGACACTTTGAAATCGCTTCTCAAACCAAGAACGACCAGCGGTACTGTGAACAGGAGCTTTTTAGCAAATTATGCTTGCTAGTTAAGCTTCTCACTGGAACTGCAAATCGGTAACTGTTGTATATTGTAATAATAAATATCTAGCAATATTTTTTCTAGAACATACGAATTTATTACGCACAACCACTCGTGAGCACTGTATTTTATTAGCCTACATAGCTAAATACCCAGCAGAGGTTATCCACTAAGAGTATTCGCATCCAATATTTTATTTAAAATAAACAGCTACCTGGTGACAACACATGACATTTACGATGGTTTCTAATTATTATCTTCTATTGCTAAGTGTTCATACTCATGCACAGATTTATTTGACTATTGAAGGCACCGGACTGTGAGCACAAACATTTCACTTCCGGGTGGAAACCATAGAAACCGCAGACTCGCTCTTATAGTTGTGTGTACACACACCCGTCAAACCTTTCTTCGTGTAATATTCCCCCAACACTTCAATGTTTTAGCTAGAAACAAAGAAAGTACTCCTTCGTAATTACGCCACGTTTATTGGAGAGATATTTTAATAATTCGGCAATTCGCTTTCATTACATCGATTGCGAATTTCAATTCGATAGAAAAACTTGCTACACATAGATCGACCAAGTCCAGGGGGGTGTTTTTCTTGCGTGGATTACTCGTTTAGCCGGATGTAATTGTTGACGATTTGGCATGATCCTGGATCTGTCGGTTTTTGAAACTCTTGCTGGATTTGTTGTCATAGAAGCACATGCAAATCCTCAAACCTGGGGCCTGTACTACTAAGTGGGGTTACTGGCTTGTCGGATTTAAGGTAGTCTGGGCAAAATGTAAGTGAACGAATATGTAAGTGAAAGTCCATTTAAACTGTGGTACCTTAAATCCGACAAGTTACCCCGATAAGCCTGTAACCCCGCTTCGTACGTACAGGCCACTGCTCGGAGAAACTTTGTTCTATGTAAACAATGATTAGCTCACACACTTAATCAGTGTCCGTGCATGGAAATCCGTTCAGTCATGGCCTCGCCATGGATGAGCGACCAATTGCAATCGGTGCACAAATAATAAGAAGGGAATTTCAAATTGAGAGGGTAATTTTGCGCGATCCTTTATTGTTGCCGGATGATATTATTTTCTAAAAATAACGCTTCAGCCGAGATGGAATATTATATCTTAAAGATTTATTAGCTCCGTATAGTAGAAGTCCAATTAGGCGAAGTCGGGCTCTCACAGCCACACAATGTGCATTGCGGCACTTTTTTTGTATACTGTAGGCCAGTGGTTTTCAACCTGTGGGCCGCGGCCCCCTAGTGGGCCGCGACGGTATTGCAGGGGGGCCGGCAATTATTATTAATAGAAATTGTAATATTGTTAATATAATAAAAAATGTCTAGTCAAAATCAAATAAATCATAATTTGATATATAATTAAATAAATTACCAGTTTATTCAATAAAGACAATTAACAGCCTTGCTTCCGAGTACTTAGTTAACCCGACACAAAAAGCGGGATCGTTTAAATTCTTTTGCAGTGGGCCGCGGAAACATATGTGTTTGGCTGTGTGGGCCGTGAGTTAAAAAAGGTTGGGAACCACTGCTGTAGGCGATGCGGAAAATACAACAAAGAGCACACCCACTGCGCATAGTGACGTCGGAATGACATCTTTAATATGTCGTTTTTGGACGTCCAATTTTGGTCCACTGAAGGGGTTGTTTTGTAACGCCAGGCGACGTCTTTTTTTGACGTCTAATGAACGTCTAGTATTGACGGCCGTGGGACCTCCATGTATGGGCTATTTATAGTCCAAATGTGGTCGTTGTGGACGTCTTATAATACCAAAAGCAGACTAATTTTAGACATTGTGTATGTCGTGTCTCGACTAAATTCATATATAAATGAAAAATTTCACCATGCTTTCAATTAAAACTTAAATTTAAATAACGTATTGCTGCAACGGGCAGATGGAGGTATCGCGAGCAGAGAAACACAGAGGCTACTCTGTCGGGGAACATCCCGTCAATTAATAATCCGTACAAGGATTACACCAGGCACCCAAAGAGCACCAAACATAATTATATGTAAGAAACACAAAGTTGTCAGACAACGAACTGTAAGTTCACAGTGAACTCACAGTATTGCAGTGAACTGTGAGTTCACTGCAATAAAATGGCCCCCACAGTCACCAGATCTCAACCCAATAGAGCATCTTTGGGATGTGGTGGAACGGGAGCTTCGTGCCCTGGATGTGCATCCCACAAATCTCCATCAACTGCAAGATGCTATCCTATCAACATGAGCCAACATTTCTAAAGAATGCTTTCAGCACCTTGTTGAATCAATGCCACGTAGAATTAAGGCAGTTCTGAAGGCGAAAGGGGGTCAAACACCGTATTAGTATGGTGTTCCTAATAATCCTTTAGGTGAGTGTATATGGGCATTTCAAGCAGCGCGCGCGCACGCGCGCGCAATCATCTCAGATGAATGGATCCCAGCTAGACTAATCTACTACCCAGCTGCGTTTGAGTTTCTCCAGCATTAACTCATCCAAGATGAGGCATCTGATCTCGGATGATTTAAGCGACGTACGATAAATACCCCCCATATGCACAGTAGATGGCCAAAATAAATGGGTTTTTATAGTCTCTAAAAATTTGTACACCCACTTTGTTTACGTAGGTAGAACACTTGCCAATCATTGTTTCGTGCATAAAGTACCACTTAAAATAAAGCACAGACAAATTTGGGGAAAAATGGATTTATTTTCATTTTTGTGTTGTTAAATAACCCACCCATCATCTTCTAATAACTTATCCTGGTCGTGATAGCACAATTCTATTAGTCATTTGGTAGCACAATAAGATTATTGCAATAAAGACCAGTTGATCCAGGCACCTTACAGAGAATAATTATTAAGGGGACACTTCAGTTGTAGTTGCACATGACTGTACAATTACTGCACTGTCCACCAAATGGATGAGACCTGATATATGGCTTGGTAGTTACAGCTTAGGTGCTGAAGGACCATCTCCGAATACACTGTTAAAAGAATTTCTCCACACATTTCAAGTGTAAATCATACGTTAAAATATGTACAGAAACACCACAGCACGGCAGCTCTCAAGGTCTATAGCAATAACCCCACCAACGGGGCGGGGGGGGTGTCACCCCCAGACCCACTGGGATTATTACACTGGGGATGTATGGAGATGGGGTTAGCAGGCAAGTTTTCACAGTCCAACTAAATAACAGTCTTAAAATAACCAGATTCATTTGCTTATCAGATTTCATTATTCAAGAAATTGGTGTTTTATTTAACATTTTCTTCCATGTTAACTGCATCCTCCTGGTGAAGTCCAGCTCCAAAACCACAATTATATTTGCTGTTCCAGACTACTGCATGATGTGCAGATTTCCTATTTATCTTAATTATACCTAGAGTCATCATTCAAATAACAAAAATGTCACTATGCTTAGCCTTTCAAGAATAACTGGCTCATTGCCAAAATCAGTTTACACTTAATGGACTCCAAGGATGTTGAAGGGGTAACTGTTTCAGACAATTACATTGTATCAAACCTATCACTGATGTGGAGTGAGATTCCAAGACATCTAATTGATGCAGAAAATTAGTACCAAGCAATAGAGGAAAGAACAAAGGGCTGGCATTGCTCAAACAATCAGATAAAGCAAGGACCCAGGGAGAGATGGGCCCTCATCAGCTGTCAAAGAAACAAGGGCTATGGCCACAAAAAACGGGGATACTATAGAGCCCTCAGACTAAGAAAACTGACTGCAGTCCCTCAGCACCCACTTTTTACTAAGATTTAAACCCTCTGAGAACCATCAAGCTACCAGGCATCGGCAACTTATACTCAATCGGCTGTTGGAGATAATTACAAAGAGAAAACAAAATAGCTTGTTCAACCTTGACACAGACTCAAACTTAAAGACAGGGGGTATTTAAAATTATTTAGGAACAAACAAATTGTTAATAAATTAGTGACACCATATGTGAAAAGAAAATGGGACCTTTCGCCCCTTATGTGCTATGCCTTGCTCACTGAATACAGGGCCCATACAAATGCTGAATCAAACAAAAAGCTTAAAGCACTGTTGGACACTGCAGAGATAAAGCGATATGGGTTCTTCATTACTGACCCCAGAGGGAGACTGGGGGGGGTTACTGGTAGTACGGACGATAGCGAGACTGGTCAGGGTGGTGAGGTCCAGGCATCTGACCCTGTGGTGGAGGCCCCTGCATTCGCGATGGAGGCGGCCCCCTGGGGGCAGGCCACATCCCAGGACTCAGTCCTCCAGGCTGGCTGAAGGGGGGACTGAGAGTGCCCTGATCCTCAGGAAACTGTTGCATGGAGCCTGGATTATAGTGAAGGGGCAGGGGTGCACTGACCGGGGGGCCAGGTGGAGGATGGTTCATGTAGGGGGGCATCTGAGTAATTATGTGTCCAGGAGGTGGGGTAATAGGTGGTGGAGCTGAAGACATGGGTGGTGGTGGGGCCTGGCTATATACCATGTGGGTGGTTGCTGAGCCCTGGGGTGGGTGCTGCATTGGGTGTCCAATGGGAGGAGGAGGGGGAGGGGGTGGCCCATAATGCTGCTGTGGCGCCATCATGTGGTGCGGGTGAGGCACAACAGGCTGTCCAGGGTAGTCCCCAGGGTGGTGGTGTGGGGGTGGAGCAGGAACAGGCTGAGGTAAGGGCTCACGGGAGGAGCTGCTGCTGGAATCATCTTGGATGGGCACGGTGATGAGGTTGCTGTGTTTCCGTGTGGTTACCGTGGCAATGCGGAAGGTCTCCTGGGCGATGGAGCGGGAAGGCCCAACATCGGAGGAGGGTGGAGCTTGGCTTGCCCGAAGGTCTTCGAGTGGCGGCTGTGGCTGGCCATAAGGGTTGTGACCTGTGTGTTGCAAGGGGGGTGGGATCAGGATGTGTGGCTTTGGGAGGTGTGGCAGTGGGGGCAGACGGTGCTTGTCCGGGGGCAGGAGGAAGCGCTCTGCTAATGGGTCACTGCCTGCCCCAGTGCCACCTGTGGTGGGGCGCCCTGCCGCTGGCTTTGTCGCCCGCATGTGCCGATGGTTGATGTGGGCCTGCAGGTCACGCTGGGACAGGTAGGTGCGCTTGCAGCCTTGCACGATACTGCACATGTAGAGGGAGCCCCTCAGGCACTGCTCGATGCGCTGGACTGGGTCCGTGCAGCTGTACAGGGACACACTGACCTTAGAGTTTAGTAAGGGAAATGGAGCCGACGGGGATACAGACACATGCATACATGCTACACGCAAGACACCTCAGACGACAAAGACATCTCACACAAAATTGAGAGACATAAGCCCCTTTTTCACATGCACTGCCACCCTGAACTTTTCTAGATATTACCCGGTAGGGCTGATTGTGAGAACGCAATTGTTTGTTGTACTGGACATTAAACAGACTTTACCCTGCTAGTTCCCTAGTAAAGTCTGGATTCACCCCAATGTGTGAATGTGGCAGTGAGAATTCAAGAGAATTCACCATGAGCAAGTGGGCATGTTGACACTTTTATCATGCAAATAGTACAGCAACAGAAAAATACAAATATCCACGTTCAAAAAAGGGTCATTTACACAAAGACTTTGAATGAACATGGCCGAAGAGACAAAAGGCTTCAGAAATTTCTGTCAGTAGTGCTGTAATCAAAATACTGCAAGTTCTGCAGTATACTTTTGGTGTCATGTCATGCCTCCTGCATGCTCTACCCAAGCGCCACCCCTTGTCTAATCCAATGGGAGTATTTCTAGTAGGACCGAACTAGGGATGCTCATTTTGACCGTTTAACCGTTAACCGAAAGAATTAATTTTGACCGATTATTACCATCAGTTAAATGGTTTAAAATGTTTTTATATATATTTAATTATTAGTAGTAGTATGAAGTTTTGTGGCATCTCAGCTGAAGATCGCTATTCACGTTCTAAATACGCTGGGTTTGAATCGGCGACCCTGTAATTACAGGCACACAGGCTTAGCCCACTGAGCCATGAACACAGGTACGAGCTTTGCTGCTGAAAATGGAAACATTGGCGCAAAGCTTCAGCGGCAGAGACGTATCCGTGTGCTATATTGTAGCCGATCGGCGTAAACACTACCCAGACATGTGCTCTTGTTTATTTCGGTCACAATGGGCGTATTCACATATTTCTTAGACGCTTAAGTCAGCCACTCTTGTTCTTTCTATTCGTATCACGAAGCTGTAAAAATATATTTAGTTTCTACCTATATATATTTGAAAAGTAGACCGTCCAAGGTTTCTGAGGGTGTTTTTTAAATGTGTATATGACAAAACCTCGCAGAGTTATTTAAACGGTTTGGCGAAATTTCTGTCAGATCCCACCGGCGGGACCGCCACCCCCAGAGGGTTAACCAGACACTCCTCAGTTCTATTTTCATTCAATTCTAATTTAATATTCTAATCTAATCAGTTAATGGTTAATGGTTAATGTTCGGATAACGAACGGCGGTTGTCGGTTGGGAAAATTTATCGAAATGAGCATCCCTAGACACCGAACACATCTGTTAGAAAGAGTCTCTGGTTGTGTGTCACATGTGTGAAAAAGGCAACTCCGGAAAACATCTGGAGTTCATGTGTGATAATGGCTATAGAAACAGACACCACATAGTAATAACCACAAGGGAATGCTAGCTGCAAAAATAATCCCTCTACATTTATCTTAAATCCAATCATTCATTTTCTATAGCTCCTCATCCAGTATCTGCCAAGGGACACCCTATACAGGATGCCACACACTCGTAAATCAGACACAAATTTCTCCAAATAACTGCAGTAATGGGATGAGACTTGTGCGCACACAGAGAGAACATGGAAACTCCACAAAGTGTTAGAGATAGGAAACAAAATCCCAGTCCTGGAGGGCAAGGTCCCCATGCTCTCCATAAGTTTATTAATCTCCAAAAATACCCATAAATCTCATGAAGTTATATATTAAATACTTGTTGTCAACATATTATATGATCAAAAATGGGTGACAAGCTCACAGCTACTTTTTTAATGGACACAGTTCCCTTTTGTAAAACCTTACATTTTCTAAAGATGATCTATTTAAAACTTTTTTAAGGGAACAATGTCACCGTACAAGTGCGACTTTCCCATCTGAAGGAATGTGACCTTGAGCAGTAACACTGCAGACAGTGTAGTTTAGACATTTATAATAATGGCTTACCCAGGACAAATCTTGTCAGACTTCTTCTCGTGGAGTACAGCACACTCATAGCAGAAGACATGCTTACAGGGAATCTGCAAAGATGGGCCACAGAAGGCAGATGTAGTTTGAAATTTATATTGGAACACTAAAGAACACCTCTGTGTGATCAGTAGAGGTGTAACGATACGCGTATTCGTATTGAACCGTTCGGTACGAGGCTTTCGGTTCGGTACGCATTACAAACCAAACGATTCAGAAAAATACTTTTATCCCTCTGGAGTCGACGGCATCGTCAGCGATGCCGAGTATCTTTCTTGTCTATTTCAGTTCATAACTCGCTGAAATCTTATTATAGAAACATGAAAAAAACGCTGACTAAATCCGTAATCGGTTTTCTTTTCAAAACGTCCATTGTCAGAAGTATTAAAGTTTTTTAAATTAGGTGAAATCGGCAAGAAAGTAAACCATGTCATCTTACTTTGTTTTACCTGCATCGGGGGCGTGTAGTACCGCTGTCACCCGAAGATCGCTATTCAAATTCTAAATAGCCGCATTAGCACGTATTCAAATCGCAATTTGCATGGTAATTTTATTAACAGCACAACGGTGAAACACGATCCAGAAACGTTCCAGTCAGAGCCATAAAAGGGGGGGAGGGACGTGGCCAGGTGACAATGGCTCATTCATACACATGAAAGTTGCTACATATTCAATGAAAGGAGCCACAAATAGTGACATGAGTTCGGTTTTTCTTATTTATTTATCCAACTGAATGTTGCAACTACACCATTTAGTCATCTTCATGTAGCCAAGACTTTGTTGATCAGATATCTTGGATCAAAACAAACTGCCAGCATTGCTTACTATGTACTTTTATTATGTGTCTGCAATTATTCCAAGCTGCATTTTGCAATGTCTATACTTTGATGTCAAATTACAAACTTAACACAAATCTGACATATTTACAAAGTACACTAAGATAAAGATGAGTTTAATGCCAAAACAAATATATAAGAAATAATTTATTTGCCATGAATTAAGTTTATGATATTGAATGAAATGTGTGATCATGCTCCAATCAGTGAAAGTGTGTTCCCTACCCCTAGACTCCAGAGGGTTATATTTGAAAAAAATAAAAGAGAATAAAGTGTGTAAAATATGTTTTCAGTGCTACTACGCTCAACAAGGCAGCCCAAACGACGTGACAGGCAACGTGCTGACTGCCCCTCCCACCCCCAAACACTACTCCAGTCAGTCAGGCATTTGCTGCACTAGCTTGTTGCAAAATGGCTAGTAACGTTAATGCAAGTATCAAACCAGAAATAGAGGATCCTCCTATAACCAACAGGCCTGGAGTTTGGGAGCACTTTGGTTTCCCTGTAAGTTATGAGGGTGATGGCAAGAGAGTGGTGGATAAAATGTGGACACACTCATCTTTCTGGAAAAAAAACTTAAAAATTGATTGAAACTCAGATCCATATAAAAACAAAATTGTTCTTTTCTTTCTATTAGTTTATAACTACTACAAAATTAAATAATTTTTTTATCAGGAGCTTTTTGGTTTTGGTTATAAAGAAGGTTTTGTTTTATTTGCTGCTAAAAAGAAACTTCAGAAGATGGGTGAATAGCTTCATCATTGTTTAAAGTAAAAGAAAAAAAAAAGATCATACTTTTTTGATGTTTTAATGAATAAAAAAGTGAAAAAAAAATCAGAAATTCTGCCATTTTTTTATTTTTGCTGTATCGAAAACATACCGAACCGTGACACCACTGTGTCGTATCAAACCGAACCGTGATATTTGTGAACCGTTACACCCCTAGTGATCAGGAGCCTAACATGAAAGAAGAAAGCATTCTAAAAATGACAATAACATATTGGACTAATGTGTGATGTGGTCCAAAGACATTAACGTATTGAGAATGTGTGTGTGAATTCATGCATGTGTATGCCCTGTGATAGGCTGATGTACCCCAACTTTATGCCCTTTGCTGAATGAGTGGGGTGCCATCCATGATCCTGTACTAGGGATGGATGGATGGATGGATGCATGCATGCATGCATGGAAATTAAAAGTTTTACCATAGAGGCATAGAACAAAGAGAAATACCTTACATTATTATTCTGGAGTTATGGAAAAGAAGCCAACAGAGGCAGCACAAAAGAAGAACATAAATCAAAATGAACATTACAAAAGAAAATGAGGAAGCCCTCTTACCATCCGACCATACATTTTTATGGGTAGGCCGCACTTGTCACAGAAATGGATGGGTGTCTCATCCTTCTCACCAATCAAATTCAGCTGTGGGATAAATATAAGGATTTTCCACAGAATTAAAGAATCTCTGGTACAACCAACATGACAGAGAATAACCTTTTGATATTATACCAACCTTATAGTCCCAAAACATCTGCTGGGGGAAGCGCCGCTGGCTTCCAAATGCATCACCAGACTTACACTCAAACCGCTCCTCCTGCTTGTAGCCAAAACCATCTAAAAGATGACATCACCTGTTAAAGGTTTGACCACTCAGAATAAGGTGACTAGATTAGACAGAGAGACAGAGATTCTACTTATCCTCAAGGGAAATTATTATATTCAGTGCAATTAACAATAAGACAGTCTGAGTGACCATTTCCTGTAGCCCTGTTAAATACAACACATGAAATTGAAGTGGTAATGGTCAAGTGCAAAACTTACCTTCATCCCCCAGCTGTGTTTTGGACGACAGACGGTTTGGGCCACGCTGTGGTCGAGCCACAGGCTTGGCCCTGACAGCCTGTTTGGAGATAAGCTTGATAGGAATACGTCTACGGACATCAGGCCCTCCCAGACTCCCTGTAGAATCTGTACCCTGCAAGTCGTTGTCTGACAATACGAACATAGTGTTCATTTCCAAAATGAATCCACTAATTGCCACTAAACATGTTTTATGTACCAGTCTACTTAATACCTTGTCCACACGTACACAGATATTTTTTCAAACGGTGTTTTCCCTCTTCCGTTTAAAAAAAATCCCCATCAACACGAACATTGTCTTCTAAAAAATTTCCGTCCACATGAACCCGCTAAAATGCGCTGTCAAAAGCATGCCAAAACAACAGGCGGCATTATAACTCTAACCGTACTGCCATGTTAGCCAATCAGAAGCCTAATTGCCAGTCCTGTTAAGTTGAAAATCATGGCACACATTCCGAAGCCTGTGTTGATCAATATAATGCGAGAGTGACTCAACATTTATCTGTACACATGTAAGAAGTCCTATCAGCAAGGTTAGCAGAAGCACTATTTCGGCTATGTCCGCCATTGCTCAAACTCGCCTAATGTATACAGCAAACAGCACACGCTCTGACGTTAAACAAAGTGGACAACGGCACACAATCTGACATTTCGAGCCAAAAACTCTGTTTTCCCTGTCTACATGTCGACACTGAAAACGGACTTTCTTAAAATCTTCACCCTGGATGGAGTTTTGCAAAAGCTCCGTTTTCAGTGACCTGAGACGCCGTTTATGTGTGGACAAAAGCCCAAGACGTATAGGTACCAGGAGCCCAAAAAAGTCACCAAGGAGGTAAAAAATAGGGAATTCATGTATTATTATATACTCTCAGTAAAGAAACGTGTTTACTTTTAACTAATAGATAAGATAAAATCTCAGGTTAAGGTAATGAAAAGATGAACGGGGTAAAAATGGTCCTGTAAATTTTGTGCAAACAGGAACAGCTAACAACTAATAAGAGACAACCAGTATAATGTAATTGGGAGGGGTAGTTCAGACGATTCAAAGGGTCCCTGAGTTACATAATTGGATTGGGGACCAGTGATGTGCTTTCATAAGGGCCAAAATCTCTACCTGCCCCACTGCAGAGCAAATTCTTATTCCTGGACTAAAAAGAAAATTATTTCCACAATATTTGGTTATGTTGCAAACATATATACTTCACAGTACAGGAGACAAACGAAAATTATTTCTCAGAATATTTCGCGGAAAACGCCAACAGAAACAATACTACCAGTAGCATACTGACACTTGTTGAGCAGCATGTTCAAACCTCGAATTATAATCTAAGACACTGGGAGTGGCAAAACATTTGTATCGATGGCAAAAAGTGTGATGCTTGTAATTTTCACATAAATGTTATGTTAGTGTATTTGTTATACAAAGTATAGATGTATGTGTCATCATTAGCAAGGATGCGATGAATTTGGAAATAGATCAAAAACAATATTTCCACTGCTCAGACTTTCTACAGCTGTATTACAACTAAATATACATGCGACAACCTGTACTTTCTTTTCCCTCTTGCTGTGACTACATTTGCTGATAACCTGATTATGATGGTACCTATTATTGAATGTAAGACCAAACCACAAGGCAATTTTTAAAACAGACTGTAAGAGAGCAGAATATATAACAATGTGACGTCGCTCTATTTCACTCATTTCAGCGAGCCAAACAATAACTAAATAAGATAAATGATATGACTTTTCTTTACTTAATGGTATTCAGCAACACAACGAGCTAGAAACAAGGCCGTAACTCAAAAGCTTTTCAAAAATCCGCGTTTCCGGGGACGCACGACCTGCCACACAAATCACACTCATTAAATTTATACTACCTTCGACCCCATATACGAAGAAAATAGGTTTACGTTATTCCGGATCATAATACAAATAAAAGTTAAAATGCAAACCATACAATTCCCTGCTTACCATTCTGATCCATGACTCGGCGCAGTGCTCTCTGGGAGCGGATATATCCATCAAGGGGGGCATCCTGCAAGTCTACAATGGAGCTTGTCACTACTCGGTAGTCGGTACTCCGTACACCGTACTACTGGATCCGTAGTTCCAAAAAAAAAAAAAAATCCGTAGTTCCGGATCCGGTTCATTCATAGGGTGTTTCCGAAATCGCGCACTTGCGCACTTTTAGTGCGCTATTTTAGGGCGTAGTGCGTTCACACTGACAACTAAGCCAAAATTCAGTGCACTGAAAGTACCCGGATGGTGCACTGAAAACGGCCAGTAAACGCAGTGCAGAACGATGGACACTACTCGCACTAAACGGACGCCATTTTGACTACGTAGCGGAAGGGGAGGGACTTTCGGCAAGTTTGAATAATGGCGGACAACACAGTCACGCTAGCCTAGTAGCCCTCTTAACATAGCTATTAAAACTGATGTAAAATATTTGGGTATTATAATCTCAAAGAATACATAGAGAATATTTAAATTTTGAGCATTTTACCCAAAAATCTAAAAAGATTTTAAACAGTTGGCTACAAAGAGACCTCTCCATCTTTGGACTCGTCTTGCTTACTAAAAAGTAAAACAGAAGGTATTTCTCGTTTTATTTATCCTTCACAATGTTTATATGTTTCCAATAGGTTAACCAAGAGGATAAATCAAATTAATTACAATTACATTTGGAGAAACAAGCATCATTATATTAGGAAGAATGATATAGTGAAGTCATTTGAAGAAGGAGGCTTGAATGCGATTGATTTTGAAGCAATGGACGGTTCCATCAAACTTAAATGGTTGCAATCTTTCATTAGTAGTTCAAATAGTATTTGGTTTTATTTCCCCAAGGTAATTTTCGAGAAACTTAGTGGCGTTGAATTTCTTATGAAATGCGACTTTGAAATGTCCAAATTACCAATTAAATTATCAAATTTTCACAAGCAGGTCCTCCAGTACTGGAAAATGATATACCAGCATAATTTTTCTCCACATACAAATTCGATTTGGAAGAACAGATGCATAATGATAAAAAGAAAATCCATCTTTTATAAGGATTGGATGGATCATGGGATTTGGACAGTTGTACACCTTTTAGACAATGACGGAAATGTGTTGACTTATAACAAATTCATAAGTATTTATGGCATATCATGTACCGAAAGTACATTAAGGTTGTGAAAGCCATTCCCCTTGCGTTGATTCAGATGGCTAAAACTAGTTTAATTTATTCTTTCTCTATAATTTGTGAACCGTCCTTAATAATTGATGATCGTCAATTTAAAGGGAAGACATGCAATAATACATTTTTAAGGACAACTCTCACTAAACAACTTTTCCCTTCTCAACGAAAAAGAAAATATATGTTCAGAGATTATAGCTCGAAGATTTTGACTGAATATCTTTCTTTTCCAATTCCACCTAAAACAAAAGAAAATCACTTAAAAATTTTAAATGATATATACAGTATATATATATATATATATA